CATAATCAGAAGAATTCTTTACCAAAGGGTTTACCACAGGGAGAGCCATCTCATCTTGGTCTCACGTACCATAAGGATTTGTCCACTTAGAGAATACTGTTCTAAGCACCTAGAGATGGGAAGCACTAAACAGCCAGCACCTGTGTCCTCAGCAAATATCCCCAGGCATGTTTGAAGGGCTGTCATCACATGCCAATGAACCTAATGTACCTTTGTACAAAAAACCAAGTTCTAGGAGTCTGTTAAGTCCTGAAGTTCAGAATGGTGACTGTGCACAGACATGAACTCAGCATGTGGCTCAGGGTTGTACCCAGGATGGGTACCTGGCAATTATTCAGCTTTTGAAGCTTTCTTACTGACCTCCAGGAAAATGGGGGTAGAGTCCTTGTTTGCTTACTCTCTTAGAGGAGCCATAACCTTCCCTCCAGGGACCTTGGGCACACCCTGGATCTTGTCCAGCAGTGACTGTCTACTTCTCCACTAGCCCCAGTGGATGGGGAGTTTACAGAGCAGGGATCACATGCTGTTCCTCTCTACTCTCCACCCCAGCACAGGCTCTGCTGCAGGGATAGGATGTGCAAGAGAGTGGGAACAAATGACAGATGGATGTAGGAACCTGAAGTGCGTGTGCGCGCGCGCGCGTGCATGTGTGTGTGTGTGTGTGTGTGTGTGTGGTATGAGTATGTATGTGAGTGTATGTGTGATGTGGTATGTGTGTGAGGGGTGTTGAGTGTGTGTGTGGTAAGGTATGTATGTAAGCATATATATGGTGTGTGTGGTGTATGCAATGTGTATATATGTGGTGTGTGAGAGAATGTATGTATATGAGTATATATGTGTGAGTGTGTGTGTATGTGGTGTATGTATGTGTGAGTGTGGTATGTGTAGTGTGGTGTATATGAGTATGTGTGTAATGTGTGTATGTGAGTGTGTGGGGGAGAGAGAGAGAGAGAGAGAGAGAGAGAGAGAGGACCCAGTGATTCTCGAGGTTGCTATCTGACAAGCATCTAGATGCTTGTTAATACATGAATCCCTAGGCCTTACTGAAAGGTCAGTGAATGAGAAGGTGGGGCCAGACTGGGGAACCTGAATCTTAACATTGATCTGGGCTCTGGAAGATCCTGTAGTACAGACAGGAGCTATGGCTCTAAACAAACTGGGCTGAGCAGGGTTCCAAGTCTCTCTCCCTGCAGAGAACGCTCTGAACTCCTGATGACTAAGCGGGTTTGGCAGAAGAGGGGGTTCTTGGTGAGGAAACATTCAGGGATTCCTGACTTCGGGGTTCCTCACAGGCCTGAACTTCACAACTATGTCCTCAGAAGTCAGAGGTGTACAGCATGTCCCTGGCATTGCATGGATTCTTGTTGTCATGGACTCTGGTCCCCAAGAACAAAAACAGAGTAGGGCCCTAGGCTAAGCTGGATCTTCATCCTGGGATTCAGAGAGGGAATTTCTTCATCAAATGCCAGCCAGGGAGCCCAGGCCCAGATCCCAGCAGAGAGCACATGCTGAATCAATTGGAACTGAGTCATGGATATAATTAATTTAATGCGTTTAAACGATTTTCCGTATAGTAAACATGCTGAATGAGGGTGACCCAGAATAAAGTGTGTGCCTGAGAGGGGAGATTGTGTGTGCGTGCAATGAAAATGCTCCATCCAATGGAAAACACTCCAACCCATGTCCACTGCTGTTCCTTTCCTTTCTAATTCCATTGATAGCTGAACTTGGCCTTCTGTGGCCTCCTTGGACCACAGAGGCACTTTTACTGTGTCAGAGGATGTGGTATTTTTGGTGATCAGAAGATAATTTTAATGAGACCTGTCTGCAAGCCAGTGCCAGGTGCATCTTAATTTGTGACAAAGGGACAAGTGGGAGCTAGAACAAAATACAAAGGGGTTTATTTTGTAGCCTTTCTCGACTAAAGGCGACTCATGAGGAAAGCAGGGGCGGTGGTGGAGCTGGTGGAGGTATGGTAGGTCTCACTGCCATGGGGCTCTGCCAAACCTTGGTGCTGGGACACCACAAGTCATTTCCCTTCTCTAGATCAGTGTCCTTTGGTGACATGAGGATGTTGGCTCTGAGGGCCTTTAAGAGTGTATTCGGGTCTGCCATTTGCTGAATTATGACTCACAGACTGGTGCAGGTGTCAAGGAATTTCCCATTAGAAAGAAATTCATCTTCAAGCCCTGGAAAGCATTTTAACCCGTCTTAGCTAATTGCTCATCAAGTAGTGATTATTTGGCGCTGATGACAGGGCATGCCTCGATGGGGTTATAAATGATATCCCGCAAGACACGCCAAGGCACTGAGGCAAAGGGCTTCCAAGCTTCTCAGTGCGCCATCAGCCATGGCAACCTTGAGTGCCATGAACTCATCCTACCAATGAGAAACGAAGCAGAGAACAGGCATGCCCTCACTGTGAAGCAGCCTGCACGTCGCTCCCCACCTCAGTGTGAGCAGAGAACGTGTGCAGTGTGCAGTGTGGGAGGGGAGTCAGAGCTACTGCAGCTGGTGGGGAGGGGCTGTGGGATGAGGCCTGAACAGGAAGGGTGGGGCTCTACTACCCAGAAACTCCTCCCCATTCCTTTTTGAGAAAGGGTCTCATGTATCCCAGACTACTCCTGAACTTGCTATATAGCTGAGGATGACCTTGAACTTCTGATCTTTCTGCCTCCACCTCCAGAGTACTGGGATTACAGGCCTGTGCAACCATGCTCAGTTCTGTAGTGCTGGGGATCAAACCCAAGGCTTTGAGCCTATTAGGCAAGCACCCTAACAACTGAGCTACAGCCCCAGCCCGAGAAGCCACTTTTTAATAAGGGTCTCACTATGTAGCTCAGGCTGGCCTCAAGTTCACAATCTTCCTACTTCCACCCCCTAAATGCTGGGATTACAGATAGGTGCCACCATGCCTGGCTTTTAATAAGATTTATATCTGGGTGTGATTTTCTAATAAGGGGTTCTGAGGATAAAGACATATTTTTAAGCCATAGTTTGAAGAAAGTGGCTGCAGTTTCCAGTCTGAATCTAGGCTGCGCTATTAAAAACATACCTGGCCATTAACTATCCAGAGCTTTCATGTCTGCATGTGGGAGGGGGAGAGGGTGTCCGCCCCTTAGGTCTTTCTACCTAGGTATTTTGAAAACCAACTTCTCTTTCAGCAATGTCAGAGCCTCTCCACCAGCCAGGGCAGCTCCGGCCTACATTAGAATAACCTGGAGGGTTGTTAAGGCTCCAGTCGCCTGGTACCTACCTCCAAAGATCCATTTGATGGGTGGTGCCAACAACCACACAGGCAATGCTAACCACACTCTAAGGAACAACTAGTGTCCTTAGCTTGCCCCTCCAGAGTTGGACCCCAACTTACCTTCCTAGCCCCACCATCTACCTCTTCAATGTTCTGGCCCAGGTGATTGTACCCTTCCCGCCCCCACACTTCCCTCTTGCTCAGCTTCTACCTGGTCAGCCTGCCCTGAATGTCTAGGGCCTGCTCACCACTCAAGGTCAGATTCAGATGCCACATCTTCTAAGAGGCCTTCTCTGGCTTGCCCAAAGAGCTCATTGATATCTCTGAGGCTTGTAGGTTTTCCCCTGTGCTGAGAACTTTTAACCGTTCCATATCAGTTTTGTTCAGTTCCCACCCCTATATCGGAGCCACGGTCTCTATACCACTGCACACACACATCCTCAGGTCCCTCACAAACGTGCCTGCCACCCCCTCAGCAGCCTGAACATATCTTCCAACTCCAGGATTTAAGAAATGCACAATCCTCTTGTCTCATCTGTCCGTTGCACTACTCCAGGGTAGACTGATTAAATTACTGAGTTAGCACATGGGACAGAACTTTTATCCATTCCTCCCATCCTTCAGGGAAATTTCCTGTATTTACTAAAAAGAGTATCAGTGGCAGAGTGGGTTGCCACTCACGGCCATTCCCAGAAGGCAGCGTCATGCAGCCAATAAGACCTAGTTCAAATCCCAGCTCTTCTTCTGGTTAGCTGTCTACCTACAAGCTCTGAGCTCTAGGTTGCTCATCTTTAATGTGGACAAACACAGTACCTACTCCTTATGGAGTCACAAAGATGCAACAGGGGCCTTAGGAACAGTAGCAAGAGCTGGCACTTCCTGGGGGTCAGCACCAGACATACCCAATGGGGTGGAATCTACACAGTGCACCTAGCTCAGTGTGCCAAGGGCTGGCATGGAAGCCCTGGGTACATGTTCAAGAACTATTAGCTATTATCAGTGCTAATTTTCCCAATATCCATGCAAGGCATATATTACCATTTGAATTTCCCCAGTGAGAAACTTGAAGTTCAAATCAGGTACTCTGCACAATAAATATTAGCAAATAACACACATGGCCTTTTTTGATTTGGTACCAGGAATTGAACCTATAGCCTCGGGAATTCATGACAAGTGTTCTACTCCAGAGCTGTATCCCCAGACTTCTTCTTACTTTTAATTTTGAGATGGGGTCTCACTGGGTTGCCCAGGCTGCCCTTGAACTGACTCTGAATGGAAGGCAGGTATTGAACTTGAAACATTCCTGCCTCAGCCTTCCAAAAAACTGGGATTATAAGCCTGCACCACCAAGCCAAACACAATGACTAATCTTTGTAATTATTTTGTAAGGAAGGTACCGTACCCATTTTGTGAATGAAAATTCTGTAGTTCAAAGAAGGTAACTCATAAGTGAAGACCCAGTATTTGAACCTAACTTTGACCCTTCCCACCCACCTCATGGTAAAGTGCACCCTCCTGTGCTGTCTCCTCTGCTTGACATTTCTTATCCTTGAGTCATGGGTTGCTTCTCCAGAGAAAGAGAGCACACATCACCCTGCCCCTCTTTTCAACATTCCTACAATCCTGCAGCCCACAGGACATTACCCCAGAGAAGAGAACACACATCAGGAAGTACACAGCAATGCCTCTTTTGACCTTGTATGACTCCCAAGGGCACTAAGGAAAACAGCCCATCAGGCTTGGGACTGACCGTGACCCCGAAGAAGTTGGTTTCATTCATGGCATTGAGGATGATTCTACCCAATGTATGGTCAGTGTAGTTGAAGTCCTGGATCCGCTGGTGCCTGCTGCTGGAGTGCAGCGTCTCCATGGCCCTCTGCAGGGTCTTGGCGATGACCCAGATGCCATCGTAGGCGTAGCCATGGAACTTGCTGGGCCCCACACCAGAGCGCTTGCTGTTGTATTCTCTCTCATACTGCTGCGGAGTCTGGAAAAGTCATAGGGTAGGGGACACCAGGTTACTACAAGGTCACTGGGCACACTGATACTCTCCACATTGGGTCTGCTGTGCACTAAGCTCACTATCCATTCTGTCATTTAATTCTGTAACCACATCCTATGGTAGGAGCCATACTGCCCCATTTTACATATGAGGACGTTGATTTACCTAGGTCACAGAGCCAGTGACTAACAGGGTTAATTGAGCCCTATCTGCCCATAAAGACTAAGCAGAGGGTGTAATACACCCTAAACAGACCTCCACCTGATGCTTGCAGGGCTGGAGCGCTCATGGAGGCTCACTTACTCTGTCTAGAAATTGAAGCTATATACAAGTTGACAGACTGTTCCATGCAATATTTTCAATTTCTCACCATAATAAATGCACCTTCCAAATTATCTGAAAGGCCTGATATGAATTCAGCATCGAGGAGCTCCTCAGAGCTTCTGGTCAGACAGTGCATAGGGAAAGCTAGCCTATCTGGGCAGCCTGGCCCATCCATTCTACTCCTCTTCCCCTCCTGCCACCTCCAGTCTGCAGCCCGGCCAGGCTCTGTCTTTACCTCCTCTGCCCTCAGCCTCGGGATCTCTGGATCACCCCAGAGATAGTACTCTTAAGAACTGGGGCTGAGCAAAGCCACAGGTCCCCAGGCTCTGGAAATGGCCCTAGGATATGGGCAAGGAACTCAGGGCATGGTTTAGATGTGTCCAACCTTTTTCCTTTTGACATGAGGTGGTCATCTACAAAATTCACAATTAAGAACGATGTAATGGGGGCTGGTGAGATGACTCAGCAGTTAAGTGTGCTTGCTATTCTTGCAGAGGGCCTGGGTTTGTTTCCTAGTACCCACATGGTGGCTCACATTCATCTTAACTTCAGTTCCAGGGAATCTGACACCTTCTTCTGACCTTTGCAGGCACCAAGCATGCACATAGTACATATACATACACACAGGCAAACTCATATACATAAAATAAAAATAAAATTTTTTTAAAGAACCATGCAACTGAGTTAGCAGAAAAAAATCACAAACCCTCTAATGGTTTAAGTAAGTTTACTATTCTGTGTTGGCCTCTTTTCTTGGCTCTCCTTGACCTCATGCATGTGAACCAACAGGTTGGATATGCCTGGTTGAGATTCTAGAAGGTTCTAGTGGGCTGTCCCCGCAGCCCTGTGGATTCTGAGCCCCATAGGGTCTAGACAAAGTCCTCTTAGACATGGGCCCTGAAGCAGGTCCCATTTGCAAGGGCATGACTGTGCCTCCCACTTTTCTCCTGAAAGATATAACAGGGTCTATGAATAGCTCAGTATTGACCCACAATTTTCCCCTCCCTTTGAGCTGAATTTTATAAAAGAATTCCATTATAATATTAACATTTTGATTTGGTCACAAAGTTCTGAAACTGCCTTTTTACTCGAGTTCCTGAGGTCGCCCTTCCACATGATGCCATCTGCGGAGCCCATGAGCTCTGCCCCTCCATGGGCTTTTTCTCAGAATCTTTCTGATCTCCTCAGCTAGAAATACCTTCAGAGCTATCTATGGGAAAACCCTCTATGGAGACAAAGCACACAGAAACTGTGTACTTCTTTATATGGGGAAATGCCCTTAGAGATTGTTATACATACGTTTGAGTACAGCCAAGGTATAGAGACTGGTGCAAGGCCACATACGCATGTGTGTGCACACGTATGCATGTGTGTGAAGCCAGATGACCCAATCCCATGCCCGTTGCTCACTGACTGTGAAGCCATCATTTGTCTTTGAAAACTAACATAATTGTCCCTAGTGAGTAGGCAGAGAAGGTAGATCTGCACCATCAAAGGTTGAGGGCTGTCCTGGCTGGAACCCACCTTGCTAAGAAACAGGGTTTCTTGTGGAGTCACCCACATGCCTCTGCAGGAGTGAAGTATGTCCAGCAATGACCCTTCTGCCTTCCCTCATCTCAGGCCCTCTGGAGGCCCAGCCTACCTCCCCACCCATCACTCATCTCCAGCCAGCACTTCTCTGTTTACCTCTACAAACCCAAGTAGCACTTGACTTCAACTTCGAGGAGACCACTACCCCTCTAGGTAGGCTCAGCTCCTCCAGGCACGTCCCATAGGAAATCACCGAACATTCCCATCTGTCCTGATGTCTGTCCACACAGGTTCTCAAAGCACTGCTATCCTTCCTGGCCATGCCCACTCCTCCTAGGGAGCACAGAGCTGCCTAGCACGAGGTACACTATCTTTCTTGAGCCTTTTGTGTACCTCTATTCCATCAAGTTTCCTTGTACCCCAGGGCTTTTGCACTGGCAATCCCAGGTCAGAAAATTCCTCCCCCAGCTCTGAGACATACCATCATCTCTCATCATGACTTCCCTGAGCCAGGCCTTGTCCATGCAGGATTCTGTATTCTTTCTACACTTACCACTTCTGTGTGCCCTGTTGGTCTGCCCTTCCTTCCATATCTCACTAGCACTGGGCACCATGGGGTCAGGATGTGGTATGTCTCAGTCATTTTGTTGTCCCCCAGAGTCACACACCTGCATAGACCTGTTAAGGACTCATTCTTGCTGTCTGCTAAATCCAAATGCACCTATTCACACACCTCAGGGCTAAATGATTCTCCCAGATACTGGATACCGAGCGGTGCCATCCCACTGTGTGGAGGTGCACCCGTTTCTGGGCAACCTCCACAAAGGGTGTTTTATTTTATTTTATTTTTTAATTTATTATTTTTATTTTATGTGTATGCATGTATTGCCTGCATACAGGTAAATGCACCTGTGTCATGCAGTACCTGCGGAGGTCAGAAGAGGCTATTGGATCCCCTAGGACTGGAGTTACAGACAGTTGTTAGCTGCCATGTGGGTGCTGGGATTCGAACCCAGGTCTTCTGCAAGAACAACCAGTGTTCTTAACCGCTGAGCCATCTCTCCAGCCCCCACAAAGGCTGTTTTAATTTAAAAAGCCATTTTCAGTTTGCTAAGAAAAAACGTCTTAATTTGCATTTTTTAAATTATTATCATGAGCTCCTTTCAAATATTGACCAAAAGTTGTTTTTACCTCTGAGGTAAATTTCCTTTATTCCTGTGATGACGGTCAGGTCTTTCAAGAGTATGTTTTAATGCTTGTTAGTTTTCTAGTTTTTATTGCTTGGCTTGGCGTGTGTGTGTGTGTGTGTGTGTGTGTGTGTGCTGAAAATTGAACCCAGAGTCTTGTGCATACTAGGCAGGCACTTTACCACAGAACTACTTCCCTACACTGGTTTTGAATTTGCAAGCTGGGACAGCGACATGCTTACTCCTTTCCCAAGTGCATTCTCCTGCTGAGCTAAATAATTTCAGTTTAGACTTCCACTGTGACTATACTGAAATAACTTATGTCAGACTGAAGAGCCCAGAAAGAGCACTGATGATGACAGCGTTGGCTATAAGAATAACTCCTCATCAGACAGCAGAAAGCAAGGGGGCTAAGGGTGGTGGCACACACCTGGAATCCCAATGTGCAGGAGGCTGAGGCAGGAGGATTATGAGTTCAAAGTCAGGCTGGGATATACAGCCAAAGAGGAGGAGGAGGAGGAGATGAGGTGGCTGAACAACAGGAGGAGGAGGAGGAGGAGAAGCGAGAGAGAGAGAGAGAGAGAGATAGAAGAGCAGCTAGGATCCTGGGTTCTAAAGAGAGATGCTTTGAGAAAGAAGAATGTTCTTGTTGGGGCACTGACTGGTTCATAAGCAGGAAGGTGCATGGCTAAAATAGGAAGTGTTATTCCCTCAGTGGGAAGCCAAAGGCTGTATGTAGTTCAGGGCTGTCAAGGTACCAGATTTGAAGAGTGAGGCTGGATGGCAGGGAACATTTTTACCAGAATTATTTAATAATCAAGTTGAATAAAGCAAGGGGCAGAAAAACAAAGCAAAAAGGGCCAGGAAGGGGCTGGAGAGATGGCTCAGCAGTTAAGAGCACTGATTGTTCTTGCAGTGGACCCAGGTTCGATTCCCAGCACCCACATGGCAGCTACAAACCATCCTTAACTTCAGTTCCAGGGGAATCCGAAGCCCTCTTCTGACCTCCATGGCATTGCATGACATGGGTGCACTCACATACATGCAGACAATACACTTGTACACATAAAATAAAAATAATAAAAATTTTAAAAAGGGCCAGGAAAATGAACAATCTGTTCAGAACCTAGGGCCAGACAGCACCCTAGGATTTCAGTGGAGAATGCTGAAGGGCTGACCAGTAGGAATAAAACACATCAAAATAGACCGGACTAAGGCTGGAGAGGTGGCTCAGTGGTTAAGAGCATTGGCTGCTGCTGCAGAGGACCTGGCTTTGGTTCCCAGCACCCACATGGCAGCTAACAACTGCCTGTCCTCCAGGGGATCTGATACCCTTCTCAGGTAAGTCGCACACATGGTGCATTTATGCAAGCAAACACTCATATACATAAAATAAAAATAAATATTAAAAAAAAAACAGACTAGACCTTGCAAAAACCAAAGCCAGTTCCAGAACCATCTCCAGCCCTGATTGTAATAAGAATCCAAGTGAATTCAACTCAAGGGAAAGACAAAACTGCCTGCAGTCTTTACAGTTTCTCATATATGTTGCACTTAATTGAAATTTACCAGATACGACTGGAGACAGGACCAAACATTTTTTAAAGGAAAGAAACAGAAAACAGTGTTCTAGAAATAACCCTGCAGGAAACCCAAATCTTGAAGTTATATGACTTGAACTTTAAAAATTGCAAGGTTTATATGTGCAAATAAATAGTTGGAAAGATGTGGACTCTTACCCAGGAACTGAAAGCCACAAAAGAAAAATAGAGAGGATGAAATGGAGATTCTGAAGATAAATGTGTAACCGCTGAAATAAAAGATTCAGCGGGTGGATACACCAGCAGAAAGCAGACCAGAAACATGACATTGCCTAGTAGTTAATATTCAGACACAGGAGGCAGGGAAGGAAGGGATGGAGGGTAAGAAGGAAGCACGAGACAT